GGTGTGTGTGGGTGGCATAGTAGTTAGGCTCTCAGACTTGCAACTGTAAGGTTATGGGTTTGAACCCCATCAGGGGCTGGACATTGTGTCCTTTGGAAAGGCACTTTAAATGAATTTTCCTCTCTTCACCCAAGTTGGAATGGGCACCTCGCTATAGACAGTGAAAATTCCTGTCAGTATATTTGAGCCGATGGTGGGAGGGCGCCACTGGTGGCTCCAACTTCTCTTCGTTTCCTCTGTTGTTTCTGTCTATCATCTGTCTGTGGGTGGTTAGTGGGTACTCTTGTGTGGTTTGCTCCTTCTTTCTTATTACACATCTGTCGTCCTTACCTATCCTCCTTTTCTTAGTGTATTACTCTCTTGTAACACCTCTAATCTTTTCCATAATGTGACCTATTTGTGTTGTCAGTGCCGTAAGACTTATACTAAAACTAGACCAAAAAATCTCTAGTAACACCTCTAATCTTCAGATTTTATAGGACCTTGTTAAGTTTGAAGTTCTGTAAAACTCTGCCTACAACTAGCTAACACTTATCTCCTTTCTGCTAGGTTTCCTGTGGTTCTGGGGTATCGTGTTCTTTGTGACCACGACCTTGGTGGGCGTGTTGAAGCGTGAACACATGGACCTGGACACAGACCCTGACCAGGGCGTGCTGGAGACCTACAAAATCTTGGCCAATGTCATCCGTCTGCCGTCCATCATCTCCTACATCGTCATCCTCCTCACAGCTAAGGTGGGTGCAGGCCTGTTCCATGAAACACCACACACACACACAGCTGCCAGCCTCTGTGTACAAAATGTATTTCTTACTTTTTCAGGGTCTATGCACAGAAGTCCTTTTGTGGATGGCTGGCGGGTGCTCTGGTGTGGTTTCTTCCTTCTTTCCTATCAAACAGCTATCTTTCTGATCCTTCCTCCTTTTATTTGTATGTTGCTCTCTTGTAACGCCTCTAATCTTCGGAACTTATATTACCTTAATGTGTTGCAAGTGCTGTAAAATACTTTCTAAAACTGAAGTCCTTTTTCATGTGGAGAAAATATCTCTTGTTTTCTAGTATTGCTGCTCAAGGACGTGCCAATGCGAAAGGACAGCAATGACCTTTCAAGCCGGTATTTGCGAATGATAATGAGAAGGGAGTCCATAAGTTCACTGCAGTTGTGTCTGTTACCATAGCTGGCTACTGAGCATAAATTATTGAATGCAGAGAAATGTGTCACAATTGGTTTGGAGGGGGGCTACTTGGCCAGTGTCCACTATCTTGACCCCTGCTAGATGGGAGAGTCTGTTGGTTTTGAAAAGTTGGCAGCAGTGTACACTTAAGGTTATATCGTGGAAGGAAAAGAAATCAAATGAGGTAGTGCTTGATGAAGCCCATGTGGGACGCTCAATGTTAAACACAATCAGGAAACGACAAATGCAGTTTTTGGGACACTTGAATAGACATAAGGGTCTTGAACATCTAGCTCTCACTGGCAAAATTGAGGGCAAGCGAGGCAGGGGTAGGCCCAGAACAACATACTTAGGGAACCTAAACAAATGGGTAACAGGGAAAGATCAGTGAAACGTAGCTTTTCTGAGAGCATCCGAGCAAAGGAATGAATGGAAAACCATGATCGCCGATGTCTGTCGCAGAACTGGCACCTGATGATGATGATGTTCTGGACAGCTGTTTTTTTTTTGGAGATGGAGTATTTTGGTAGGTCTCAGGTCTGGTGTTGTGCATTCCTCTGTACTGGTGTTTGTGGTGGAGTGGTCAGACCCTTTGCCTTTGGATACTGAAGGTTTGAGTTCAGTCCCTATGTGGGGAGTTTTTTTGGTTTTAAAAAAAATTGAGTCTCACTGCCTGTCTGCTGGGACGTTGTATCCCTCTCAGCTCTGGTCTGTTTGCTGGGACGTTGCATTCCTCTCAGCCCGGGTCTGTCTGCTGGGATGTTGTGTCCCTCTCTGCCCGGGTATGTCTGCTGGGATGTTGTATCCCTCTCAACCCGAGTCTGTCTCCTGGGACGTTGTATCCCTCTCTGCCCGGGTTTGTCTGCTGGGATGTTGTATCCCTCTCAGCCCGAGTCTGTCTGCTGGAATGTTGTATCCCTCTCTGCCCGGGTATGTCTGCTGGGATACTGTATCCCTCTCAGCCCAGGTTGACCCCGATAGGTAGGGCTGGTGAAGCAGGCCGCCGCCTCAATGATGTAAGTTGTGTGGATGGGGATGGGGCGGTGAAACATTTACAATGACAGTGTGCCAGCCTGCTGTTGATGACAGGAGTTCCAATCCGTGATGGGTGTGTGTGTATGTGTCCACAGGTGGCATTCGCGGCGTCGGACGCGCTGACCAGCCTGAAGCTGATCGAGGCGGGCATGCCCAAGGAGCGGCTGGCCCTGTTTGTAGTGCCCGTCATCCCCATACAGATCGCCCTCCCTCTGATCATCAGCAAGTACACGTCCGGTCCCCGGCCCATGGAGATTTGGCTCAAGGCTTATCCCTACCGGTCAGTGCTGTAGTGATACTAATAATAATAACAATAATAATAACGGCTTATCCTTATCGGTCAGTGTTGTAAAAATGATAGTAATAATAATAATAATAGAATATCCCTATGGGTCAGTGGGTTAGTAATATAATGTATATGATATTAGTATTAATAACAATATTAATAAAAGCCTATCCTTACTAGTCAGTGGGGAAATGACGATAGTAATAATAATTATAATAATGATTTATCCTTACAAGGGAGTGGTGTAATAATGATAACAATAATTGGAATTTATATATCCCCTTATCCCGAGAAGGGTCTAAGCGCTTTAAGACCATTTAACAACACACACACACACACACACACACACACACACACACACACACACACACACA